GGGGCGAGCCGGGCCGGGCGGAACCATGCGGAGGCGCTGGTAGGGGGGCGCGGGGAGGGGGTCGGTCGGGTCCGCCATGGCCGCCAATTGCGCGGGGGCCGCGGGGACGGCGGCGGGAGCCGTGGCCGCCGTGGGCTCGGCCCTGAGCGCCAGCAAGACCAAAACCAAGAAGAAACACTTCGTGTGCCAGAAGGTGAAGCTGTTCCGGGCCTCGGAGCCGCTGCTTAGCGTCCTTATGTGGGGGGCGAACCACACGGTGAGAGCGGGCGGCGCGGCCCCCCCACCCCAAACCCGGGCCCCTCACAGCGCCCCGGGAGCGGGGCCTCGTCCCCTTAACCCCCTCATCCCCTCAGATCCCACCCTTCCCCGCTCCCCCCCGGCCTGGGCCTTTTCCATCCCTTCCAGAGCAGCTTTTTTTACTGAATCCGAGCCTTCCCTCCCTGTCCATCCCACCCCTGATCCAGGGCTCTCCCTCCCTGGGCTCTTGGTCCCTTTCTGCTGGCTCTGTGTCCCCCGGCGGTTTGGGGACCCGCGGGCCGGGGTGTCCCTGCCAGGCACGTCCCTGTGTCCCCACCCCGACACCTTTTCCACACCCGTTTTCCCGGGACTGGGCAGGGGAACTGATGCCTTTTTGGGTGATGTTGCTGTGGCACAATCCCCCCTCTGGCACTGGGGGGGGACACGAATTTGGCACCCACAGTCCTGTCCCCTGTGCCAGCCCCCGGGTGTCCACCAGGACTGTCCCTGCGGCTGTCCCAGTGAGGGATTCCCCTGTGTCACAGCCCACAGGGGACAGTGCTGTGTCTCACTTGGACAATGCGTCTCCCGTCTCCATCCCCCAAAAATGAGGGGTTTGGCCCGGGTTTGTCCCCTTTGATTGTAGGACTCGGGCCATGCGTGTCCTCTTGGCCTCAGTTCCTCTGGGACCAGGTTGTGAGAGGGTCCCTTGGGAATGTGTGTGATGGCTCAGCTCTGATCCTTTGGGAATTCCTAGGACCATCCCTGTGTTTTCTCTGGAAACTTCTCCCGGGTTTATGGTGGCAGGCATGAGGACTGATCCTTGGATGTGGCTGCTGGGTGCTGTTCTTGGTAGCCAAAGAAGCCAGAAGCCTCATCCCTTCCTCAGTTAATCCACTGCTAGGGCTCAGACACACCTATTTCTCCAGTGGATTAGTGGATGTTTCCTAGAGAGTGAAAGGGATTCGGGCTCATTTTTTTCCCAAAACAAATAACACATCAAGAATTAAAAAAAAAAATCCTCCTTGCATTCCTGGCCTGCCTGGCTGGAGCGAAAGCTTCCAAGTGTGGTTCAGCACAGTGCTGGCTTTGAGGCAAAGGATGTTCCAAGTGCTCCCAGCCTTGCCCAGGAAGCAGGATAATTACTCTAATCAGCCTTTGATCAGTGGTGCCATCAGCAGCCCTGAAGAAATGGAAATTGTGGGATTTTTCCGAGTTTCATTCCCCGGCCTCATAGTGACGGTTTGTTTGCTGGCAATTGGCCTTTTTTGGTTTGGTTGTTTTTCTTTTTTTTTCTTTTTTTTTTTTTTTTTTTTTTTTTTTTTTTTT